AAGGTTGTCGAACAAATGGGTTAATGAATCATGGCCTGAGGTGGGCCGAATGAGGGTTGTCAAGATGATAGGAGGCTATCAATCTTCACCACGGGAGAGCCGAAACTAAGGCAATCAATAACTCTTCGGTGAGCCTCCGTGAAAGGTCTATTTATTTATATTCTTATTTGTTTATTTGATTTATTCACTCGTTGATTATTTTTATCAGGGAGTCTTTTCGTTTGGGATTTTATTGGTTGTTTGTGAGCTTGCTGTCTTGCAGGTTCAATTTCAGAACCATTCAATCTCCTCAACCAGAAAAAAAAAGTTTGGTATACCCCTTGTTCAGTAGGAAAGTATAGGAGTCACCTCACTAAGACGAGAGAAAGAATAAGGGGATTCGCATCCCTCAAGTTTACACGAGGAGTTGAAAAAACATCTCTGTCAAGCGAGATAAAAGAATACCTCAAGTTTACATGGTATACCGTTAACCCTGACACTATGAACAAAGTAAGAATATCCCGAACTCTATTGTTGAGGTAAGAAATAATACATATAACGAGGTAGCTTTTCATCGACGTGAATGAAAGAAGGTCAATTTTCAGGTTGACAACAGGTCAGCATCAATTTCAAAGTAAGTCAGAAATTTAATCTGTCTTAATTTATTTTGGTAGCCGACAGAGCCGTCTGGTTCACAAAGAACTTTCCCTAGCCTCAAGATATTTAAACTCTCAAGTCAAAGATGTCATGAAGTACGATATGAACTAAGAACTTCAAAAAGAAAAACAAAACATTTAGGGTAAATTTACTAAAATATTGTGTTTGCACATATATAAGACAACCACGGACTCTATTTGAAGCAAGGCCTGAAGAAAGAAGATGCAAAGGAGAGTACAATTACTAAGATATGATTGAGAGGAAGCTGAAGATGGGACAAAGGGTGACAACATTGGTATTAATGTTTTGCTAGATATGGGTGTGATAGGTGCTTTGGGAAAATATGAGAAAAAGGAAGTGTAAGGTGAAATAGCGCACCTTAAATTTCTTTTGGAAATATTTCATCCTCGTCGGGGATGGACTTCTTTCGTACCACCCGACAAAAGAGTGGTGCGGGTACGACCTTGTGTGAGCGTGATAGCCCCTCGTCTCTTCTTCTCCCTCCTCTGAACTAACTTCGTGCCACTCTTCTATGTCCTCTACGTGCCTCAGGCATAGTAAAAATGAAGGTTTCTACTAAGTAACGCTTAGGAAAAGTGAGTAAAATTGCGAAGCGGAAAGTCACTCACATATGATTATCGTGCGCGAGTACTGCTACATTGTTGAAGTGGAGATTGCTACGCAGCTAGGAAGGGAAAAAAATCACGACATTGTGTATTTTAAACTTTTTTTTTTTTTTTTTAATCAGCGGGGTGGATGCTAGGAGTGTTGATAAGAGCAAACACCCCTAACATTCTCGGAAAGCTCCATCTCTTGGTGCAGAGGAGCACCTGTTGGAAACCCGGTTCAGCATCCCTGAACATTGTCATAATTTTGGTATACGAAGAGTTGCTCTCTTGCAGATCTGCTATCATGACATACCCCAAAATCTACCGCAACAAGTTTTTGTGGAGTTGTACTTACTCTCCTGCGGGGCTACCTATTGAAAATCCTTGTATCTTTTAAACTGCTACGGAACAAGCGAGAAAACCGTTGCACGATGGATTGATGCACTGCGAAGGAAAGAGAACCACTATTAATACTAATATGCAATGAGGCCACTGTTGTTAAGTGTGTGAAAGAGAAAGATGTTGTGGTACTTAGAATGAAGAGACTGCTCCGAATTATTATAATCGTTATGCAAGTTCCAAAAGAAAACATAAGTTTTTGCTCAGAGTATGTGGGGCGCCTATCCTACGGTAATCTAGGACGAGGTGCGAGCGGTAATCTGCTGTGAGAATCACGTCGATAAACTGCTATAGAAATGAATAAGAGCGTAGTGCTTCTTTCTTTTATACTAACTATTAGAGTTTCCACGGTATCTCCTTCTTCATGTTTTACGTACTTCCGCATCTGGTCGCTCTCATCTTTCAAATCGGCTCATGCTTCGTGGTCGCTATCCATCTCCGCTCTTTCTATCTTTTCTCGTATCTTCACCCCCGTTTCCCCCCTTCATTTCCTTAAGCGCATAAATTAATTGTAATCACGGCAAGGATTAAAACACAGTAATAAAAACTATGTGACACCGTGTTCACATTCAAAGGCGAACTTGAACATAAAAAATATACATAAAAAAAGTTCTCCGAAAAATCTGGAAAAAATATATGTTATGTAAAATAATCATACAAGCAACTTCTGCCTTGGTACCATGTTCAAATTGTTACCCAATCATGAGTTAAAAATCAAAAGCCGAATATATATATATATCGTATATATGTATATACGAAAATTCGTAAGCTGTTCGCGCCAAATGCCCGAACATGTTCGCACGAATGTGGAGGGGCGTGAACACGTTCGCCGTGCTGCGCAGAATAATAATAACAACAAATATAATGAAAATGAAAGTATACAAGTTTTTTGACCCAATACAATCAAGATCGAGGTGCATTATATTCAAAGGTTGGCAGCCAATGCCCTGCATCGTAGATTCGACTTGCTCCAAGTAAGGTACATACTTACCTTCCTACTTTCTAACCACCATTTTGCTCTTCTTTTTCTTCTTCTTCTCCTCATGACTCTTTCCCCTCTACGACTGCGAGTGCACCATCCGTTAATCCAGCGAGTTTATCATCTTCGCCAATCTCTTTTCTTCAGTGAGATCTCTATTCTTTCCTTCTACGCGTCTCCTTCTCCCTACGCATGACCTTCCTGTGGCGTTACATCCCATGTGTGCTCGTTTCTCACTTGCCCGCTTTCTCTGTAGTTGCCCGCTCCCTCTCTCTGTCTCACACACGCATATGAGATTCTCATTAACTCCCATCTTACATCTTGCAGACTTTTGGCAATAAAAATGAACTAGAAAAATTGACGGGAAGACCAATAACTTGAGAGGTATAGAATAAGTGGGAGATTAACAACGCATGTGCCTGCTCCGGTACAGCAAGGTGCGCACATGAAGTCAAGTAGGCCTCTCACACTTTTCTCCTCTTCCCCTTTTCATCTCCCCCTTCCTTTTCTCCTCCCTCTCTCTCCTATACCACGTTTTTCCGACTGCGCGTTCCCGTTCTCCTTCCTTGCGCGTGTCTGCCCCTAATTCACATGGAGCACTCTTCTTCTTCTTCTCCTCAACTGCCATTTTTCTCTCACGTGCTAGTTGCTATCTCACCTCTCGCATCCTTCTTCTTCTTCTTCTTTTTCTTTCTTCTTCTCCTTCTTCTTCGGTATGTGTGTGTGAGAGAGAGAGCGTTCTTCTTCTTCTTCTTCGGTATGAGAGAGAGAGAGAGAGTTCTTCTTCTTCTTCTTCTTCTTCGATATGTGTGAGAGAGAGAGAGTTTTTCTTCTTCTTCTTCG